AGAACAAGATCCGGGCCATCAACACGTACGCCCTGCCCGTGATCAGGTACCCTGCTGGGGTAATAGGCTGGCCAAAGGAGGAGATAGAAGCCACTGACATAAAGACAAGAAAGCTCCTTACCATGCATGGAGGGTTTCACCCCAAGTCCAGCACCCTGAGGCTGTACGCTAAGCGGAAGGAAGGGGGCCGGGGACTGGTGAGTGTCAGCACCACAGTCCAGGATGAGACAACGAACATCCAAGAATACATTGGGAAGATGGCCCCAACTGACCGAGTGCTCAGTGAATACCTCAGGCAGAAAAAAAAAAAAAAAAAACCCAAGAAAGAGGAGGGAGACGAGGAACCATCATGGAAGGTACGGTATGTACCACCGGCAGATAGAGGAGGTGGCTGATATCCAGAAATCCTACCAGTGGCTGGACAAAGCTGGACTGAAAGATAGCACAGAGGCACTAATCATGGCAGCACAAGAACAAGCTCTGAGTACAAGATCCATTGAGGCTGGGGTCTATCACACCAGGCAAGACCCCAGGTGCAGGCTGTGTAAAGATGCCCCAGAGACAATCCAGCAAATAACAGCAGGGTGCAAGATGCTAGCAGGCAAGGCATACATGGAACGCCATAACCATGTGGCCGGCATAGTGTACAGGAACATCTGTGCCGAGTATAACCTGGAAGTCCCGAGGTCAAAATGGGAGATGCCCCCAAGGGTGGTGGAGAATGACCAAGCTAAGATCCTGTGGGACTTCCAGATACAGACGGACAAAATGGTGGTGGCTAACCAACCGGACATAGTGGTGGTAGACAAACAGAAGAAGACGGCCGTAGTGATCGATGTAGCGGTTCCGAATGACAGCAATATCAGGAAGAAGGAACACGAGAAGCTGGAGAAACACCAAGGGCTCAGAGAAGAGCTCGAGAGGATGTGGAGGGTGAAGGTAACGGTGGTCCCCGTGGTAATCGGAGCACTAGGTGCGGTGACTCCCAAGCTAGGCGAGTGGCTCCAGCAGATCCCGGGAATAACATCGGAGATCTCTGTCCAGAAGGGCGCAGTCCTGGGAACAGCTAAGATACTGCGCAGAACCCTCAAGCTCCCAGGCCTCTGGTAGAGAACCCGAGCTTGAAGGATAAACCGCCCGCAGGGGCGTGCTGGGTGTTATATATATATATATATATATATATATATATATATAGACAACACTGCAGTGTGTAAAAAGCAAAGGGTTTTGAAAAGTACAAAATCAATCTCTTAATTTTTTGTCAGGCCCTTCCTGAAGATTATTTTTGCAGTCCTGGTAAAGGCTGGGAAAAGCTTTTAGAGAAGCTTAAAAAGAAAACTGAGAATTATGGAAGGTGGCATGTCTTAAGCTTGGGATTATTTTTTTTTTCATTCTTAATCAGAGGCAAAGACTGGAAAAAATAATTACCTGTGGGAAAAAATTAATATTTCAATATTTAATATGAAGTATTTCATATAATTCATTATAGCTGAGGATCCAAAATGTCAGAAATTGAGGTCATAGCTTCTTTAAATTTGGCATGTGTGGTGTTCCAGAGAAGACTCGCGAATCCTCGATTTCACAATCCAAGATGGCAACAGTGCCTTTCAGTTGTTTTATGATACAGTTCTAAGAGCTGCCATAGACTCAAATAGAAGAGGAAACAATATGATGTACAAAAAAAGGAGGACAATATTTGGGGACCGAGCAGTAATGATGAGAACGTGAAAGCTGGTCATTATTTGTGACAAAGCCAGCGATCCATATATTTCTGCTCCCCTCATCTTCTGTCTTTGAGCTTGTTTTGGTTTTCCAGTCAGCAGCTCAGCTGTTTTGTTTTCACTCTGAGTGAACTCATTGTTTTTGGTCACGAGATTCAGCAGTTTCATCTGAAGATGCCGTAAACACCCAACATTCACAAACTGCTCAGCAACAAAAGGCAGACAAGCAGAAGTAGCGGCTAGCTGAAAATACTTTTAGCAGCTAAGAAGCCAGAGATTTCCCAGAGGGAAATGCTAACCAAAGTCAGAACTAAAAAGGAGAGTGAATATCAAATTTACATTCATCAGGGGGCCAGAAGTCGACTCGGAATAAATGATGATGTTGCTAACTATCTACTGAAGGGTAAACAGGCATCTGTTCACTAACAAGTTACCACATCAATTTAAAAGTTGATGCTATGCTGCCCTTATTACCCAAGAAATCAATTACTGCATGTTTAATTTCAGCATTTACCACTAGCAGAGCACACCAAACACAAAATAGAGGTCAGTAATTCTTGACATTTGACATTACGTTAAAGTATAAAAAAACAGATTGGCTCAAGTCCATACAACATTTGAGCAAAACATGGCTCATCATTTTGCTGCTGAGTGTTTCAGCTGAGGCAAAAGAGTAGTTCAAAGTCTGCTCATCTCATTATTGGCAACAAGGATTTGCTGTCAGATGCATGTGTCTGCTGATGTGTGTGTTGGTTTAGGTTGGCAGGACATTTAGGAAAGGGAGAAGTGTTAACTGAGAACGTGGGCGGGTTAGCGTGAGGTTTGTGTATGTGCAGACACTTTCGCACATATTTAGTTTTTGCAGGCCCCTTTTCAGCACTTACACACAAAAACACACATTTTGTTTAGTATGTTACCGTCTCGTGTGCGTGTGAGTGAGTGAATATCTTTCAGAGGTGTGCAAACAAGGACAGAGAAGTGCTCTCCAACTGAAAATGTTGATTTAATATGGCCTGTAAAGCTGAATTTAAAACTAGGACATTTTTTCTTCACTGCTAAGCCAAGGTAAAATACCTCTTGTACCACGGCTTGTATCAGAGCCGAGTGGAATGCTGGGCATTTATGTGTACACAATTAAAAACTCATGAAACACATTTAAAACACAGCTTGTTTAAATCAAATGCTTCTGTACTCAAAGGTAGAAATTCCACAGAAGAACCTGAATAAAGCTGCTATTGTACGTTCTCTGTAGTGTCAGTGAATAAAAGAAGGGCTAAACAAACGCTGAAGCAGGTAAACCAAGGCTAAGTGCATCTGCAGTGTCACAACCTAGCAGTGTATGATATATAGAAAACTGACAAAACAAGCTATTACACAGATTTCATTCATTCATTGTAGTTTCCAGTCAAAAGAATTACTGAGATACATAGTATAGAGTAATAACTACACAAAGAAACAAGAAGCTGTGTTTCTGATTTTTGTCACTCAGTTTTGATAAAACAGGAAGTTATTTTCCAGACCACACTGTATGGAGGCAGTCAGGGACAGCAAACACACTTACACTTCGCTTTACAGATCAACATTTTCTTCTTCTCCAGTCCATTTGTGTAACTTGTTATGTGTGATGTATGGCACTGGGTGTTTAGTGCTTTATTTGTTCAGTGTTCGGTTTGAATGCATGCAGGTTTGTAGATGTGGGATACTTCCATGCACGTAAAAACACATTTTTAACACATGCAGAGAAAGTTACATGACAGCAAGATGCAAACTGACTCGCACACTGCGGAAGACAGGAGTTTTACACAAACAAACACACAAATGCTGTGCACGACAACAAAGAGTTTCTATATCTAATTTAATGTATAGTAGTAGTAGTTTTTTTTTTATTGTGCTGTGCTTTGTGTGCACATGTCCCTGCATGTTTTTGCATAGTGACCGGAGGTGACTTGCCGTGACAAAGACTTAATTGAACTGAATGGGAGTGAACTGAACTGCACGAAGAGAGGTTGGTTTAAAGAATGATGCCGAGAGGAATGTGATCCTGTGCCTCGCCAAGGCTGTGAGTCACAGCCAGCCGTGCAGCCAGCAGTTGAAGACAGTCGCTTAGTTTGATGTTAACTTGTTTCTCCTCCGGCGGCGGCTGTCACCTCTTGGTATGCCTCTGTAGCGGGAGCTCAGATCAGTGGGGTATCTGAGGGCCTGTCGTTCTGCTCTCCATCACAGCCACCACAGTTTGCTCTAGGACACAGGTAGCAAAGCTGTACCGCTAACTGAAGGCTAGGAGATTTATGTAGCTGGCAGTCCTGGTTGCTGATAGTGCTTCATGGTGGCTTGCTCACCCATTCCTTCTTCCTTTGTGTATTTATTTTGTAGTATAGCGATTTGAATATAAATATGCTATTATACTTCATGAAATTGAGGTTTTAAAATAAGGTTAAATCTTGCCAAAACAAAGTCATTGTCAAGTGATAATCAAGGCAAACAGTGGCTGCTTTTTATAAATGATATTTAAGATCTTTTTAAATGCTACAGTATTTGTTTCCGAGCGCCTACTAACATTTTAATTACAAACAGTTTCGTTTCATCATACGTTAACGTGAATATAGATGTCTAACTGTAATGAATGTATTGTGATTTCATTTTTCATAGTAGACTTTATCCATCTCAACAGTGGGAAATAAAAAAGGGCACAAAGGACACGTCTCTGTGACCACTAACTACCAGAGACTTGAATCAGATGGCATTTTGGCTTTTCTTAGCCACGTCTCTTCTGGCCATTTTATTAACACAAGCTGCGCATAACTGCTAGGCCAATGAATCAGATAGCAAGTAGTAGCCTGAATGCTGTTCCTATCAGCAATATAGCCAGAACAAACTGCATATCATTTTAAGTTGATTGGTTCAGTTAGCTGTCAGGGACAAGTGATGTCTATCTGTGTTAGAGCAACTTCCTGTTTAGGCGGAGCCAGAGGCGGTCAGCTCACACATGGTTGTCCCAAGGCTGTGGTGATGGGCTCAGATGATCAGCTGAAGGCTCTGCTGGCTGAGTCAGAGGTGATCCTAAGTGGCCCTGAGTGATAAGTGTCGGAGCTCAGACTTTGGTGGTTTTTTAATGAGCTGAGACAACCGCACACATATAAAAAAGCACAAAAGAAAGGTTTGAAACATGACTCAAAGTCAAGTTTAAAAAAATGTGTTCGCTTACTCAGTCAAGGCAACAAACTTCATCTTTGTCTTTTTGTAAATTTAACTACGTTTTGTTGTTTCTCTTTTCTGCAGGAAGTTGTACATTTGATGAGGGCTTCTCTCAGTGTGACTACCAACAAGATCCTTACGATGACTTTGACTGGACGCACATCAACACCCAGGAATTGCCATATGTCTCACCACACCTGCCACAAGGTGAAGTCAAATTCCTTTCCCCTCATGTTTGTCATCTCCTACTTCATCACCTCAAAGTGTGGAAAGCAGCTTATTGTTTAATGCAGTTTGAAGTGCTTGAGCTCTTTTTCGAGTTTCACCATTTTTTAGATGTAATTTCTTCTTATTACTGCAGCACATTTATTATGCAGGATTATTACTGCTCTGCTATATCCCAACTATATCAGTCAACTTCTGATAATCACATCGTGTATATACTGAACTATGAACAGCGGTTTGCAACTTTTGGTTGGTTTTTTTTTGGTTGCTTTCCCCTAAACAATGTTTCACTGAGTTGTTAACAGCTACATTTTTTGTCTAATTTTCCCAGGTGGTTTCATTTAAACAACTATACAAGCCTAATTCTGATGCAGAATTACCCAATATTTCAAAAAAGCAAAAATAATTTTGCAGAGCAGCTTTTTCCCCTCTCAATTAATCATTCCATGAGCCTGCAGATGTAGTTTGCTCCCTTTTGGAGGGGGTCAGCCCCTAGGCTGGGAATAACTGGACTAAATGACCGAAGCGTATGCAGTATAAAACTAGCTCTACCTCGGGCAGCTGCCGCAGCAAAATGCTTCTTACATATTGATGCATCGGTGTTCTGCAGATCACACACTTTCATTTTGATGCTTTAAGTTTATTTTGCTGATAATACTAGTTTTGTACTCTGGCTGAAGTAGGAGCTGATTGACTGACTTTTACTTTAATGGAATATGTATATATCACTGTACAAGTTCTTGGTGCTTTTTCCTCTCCTCTCCTCTCCTCTCCTCTCTAATCAGTTGTTTTTTTTCTTCATGATGATGATGAAGGGGAAATTAAATCTTTCTGCCTCAGGGCTGAGGGTCTAATTAACAGAATATGAGGTCATTAATCAATGGCAGGGAACAGGGAAGGTTGCCTGCTTTACAATGTTAAAACCAAAATGTTATAACAGTAACCAGCTATGCAATGTTGAAATGGTAACTAGCTTTACAAAAAACCACAGAGTAAGAATGTCAAGTGGAAGTATGAACCTAACCACATTAAGGAAACTGTGTTGCAGTGTAGCACCACAAACATAGTTTGCTTCTCAGCATTGTTTCTCCTTTCCTTTCCTTTCCTTTTCTTTTTGATCTCATGTTACCTTGATTCTTTTCACCCTCTTCTCTTACCACTTCTTTCCTCTGACCTCTCCTCTTCCTCTGTTGTGGAAGATTAGGATTTTGTTTCCATGACAATGCAGTGCTGTTATTTATCTCTCAGACTTATCTTCATGACAACCCCGGCTCGCTGACATTTAGAGAAAGGTTCATTTAAAAGCCGACTTTTTACAATTTTCACACACAAAGACCCACTTTGTGTGTCGTGCATGTGTGGTCTTGCATATAATTAAGCACTGACACAAGAGTGTGGTGCCCAGTGGTACAAAGCCAAAGTCTATCATTTAGCATTATTAATACCAAGTGGTGTCACTGTGCTGAGAGGGCAGCGTTGGCAGCCTGAAGAGGTTAAATACCTTGCCTAAGAGTGCAGAGGTAATGGCTGCAATTAACATAGCATTAATGGCTGTTGAAGCTAGTGGAACGAGCAGGGGCATGGGGATGGCAGAGCAGGTTAATGGTTTGGAGATGTTGGTTGCTAAAGGGGAGGTTCAGAGCCTTGCCTAAAGGTATGGGAGCATGAACTGACATTTGATGTGTTAATAATGCCAGTGGGGTGTGGAACAGTGGTGCAGTGGATGGAAAACGAGGTTGCTAGAGGGGATTACAGATGCAGCACTTGGCTAGATTTCTTTTTGGAAGGAGTTAAGGGAAATGGGTGAGGGGTTGAGTTGGTTGCTTAAGTGCCATGCCCAGGGAAACTTTAGTAATGTCTATTATTAGAATAGTTTTCTCAAGCTATCCTAGCCACCAGTAATTTAATACTCTGGTCTGGCTAACTACAATCTCCCTGAGGGCATGGCTTGATTTAAGAGGAGTGGCATTAAAGTCTTTTGGGTTCTGACCCCTGAAAACAAAGGAATACCAATCCCATTGTTTGGGGAGTTGTTAAGAGCTCCCAAAGAGCTTTGGGAGTGACTTTTTTCACTGATTAGTACATCAGGGGGTTTATTTTGTCAAAGGTAAGGGCAGAATAAAAGGAGTCATCTACTAGGGGAGTTACACAGAATCCTTTTAGAGTTATAGCAGTGACAAAAATGATACTTTTGTTCCTTATAACCCACAATGATTTGTGCCAGTTGCTAATCACCATTTGTGCTTATGGCAGTACTGACATTGCAGGGACAGTTTGGCAGTGTTTGTAATAAGAGATAAAACTCTTCTATGTAATGTCTCCGGGGGTCACTGTTGGCACTAGTCACCATGGCAGGGTCTACAAGCTACTCTGGCAATGTGCATCGTGCCAGTTGAACATTCATGGGCAGGGGCCCTGTGGCTCAGTGGACTAAAGCAGATACTCTTGACTCATAATGTTGTCAGCCAGTACCACTCAAAACCTATTTGGCATGCCATTCTCTCCATGTCTCTCATGTTTATCAGTGTGTGCTATCTAATAAGGAGGGGAGGCATTTAAAATGCACCAAAGCTGGTCTCATGTGCACTAAATGTTTTAATAATGATCAAATAATGAAGAAGGCAGCAACACCGTTATAAAATACTTAAAATTACCAATAAATCCAACCTTTATGACACAGTTCCTACAAGACGTGAGTGTTAACCTTCACAAAAGCAGTATGCAGTTTAATTAAAAATTATAACAATATGGGGACATTTTTAAAGCAACAAATTAAGATAGAAGTGCTAATTAAATTTCAGAATTATAAGGCAATGCATAAGGTGTCAGTAAAATAATGAATTATAGTCAGAAAAGGGAGTGGAAATGTAATTTCCACTGTTGCTTATATGTATAGAAAACTGAGCATGGCCTCTGGAGATGCAAGCTGTGTCTTGAAGTGAAAAGAAAAAATGAAATTAACTCCATGTTTGACTCCAGGCTACATAATCTGTAGTCTGTGCAGTGATCTTCCTTCCTATGAATGAAGAGCATGTGTTACTGTGGAAGGGTATTTGACATCTCACGCATCTTGATTGGCGCCTTAAAATGCTAAAAATGAAAATACCCCATTAGCTGTTATTCCAGCAGCTAGCTGTTATTGTTTTGCTGGAGAATACTGTCCCCAGTCTGCCCTGCTACTGTTGTTCTTGTTGCGACATATCTGGGGCTCAAGGCTATCACAGCGGTATTTTAGTCTCATCTTTAATTATCTTGTGTCATTACCCTTTTACCGGCCATTTTAGACTTTAGCCATTCAAAAGAATCAGCCATTTTAGAAACAAACCTCAAGTGTCAGATGTTCTTGGCATCATAAGGTGCTTGCTTAGCATGGGTGTAGCGGTGTAGCATCAGTTTTGTGTGCAGTGAGTCTTTCATTATTACTCATGTTTTCAAATGCAGCTTTTGTGCCAGGTTAGGTCTTGTCATTGTTCTGGTGTAATCGACTGATATTCATGTGGCTTCTAAAATATATGTTGGAATTATTTCAGTAAACAGACACTGTTGTCACATATTACTCAGCTGTTTTCAACCTATACTAAATCCTTTTCCTGTTATATTTTTGTAGCAAGCAGCGCTTTGATTAGCTGAAGTGCTAAAGGTTATATTTTGCAACGTTGTTTGTGTTGTGACATATCTGGGTCTCTGACTGATAGGAGTATTTTTAGCTGGCACATCATCTTGGCAGCCATCTTAAAGGCTCTTTTTTTCAAGTCACCATCTTAGCGTCAGTGGCACAAATGAAAAAAACAAAATAAAGGGAGTGATGTCCATTATATGTTCATTTTGCAGCAGATTTAGATAGAGAGGAAATCGGTGCCGGCCTTGTTTTGTTTCCAGTCTGATTGGCTGTAGTCCAGTTTGGCTGGAGTCATTTTGGGTTTTGTTTGTGACATTCAGAACCAAGAAGTGAGATTATTCTAATACCTGCATGGCAGAAAAAAGCGCAGAGATAAAAAGAAAAGAACAGCCAAAACGATAACTGGGGTACTGAGAAGCTGATGTGCATGTGTGTGCATGTGTGTGCATGTGCGCACACATGTCCGTGTCTCCACATGTTTGTGTGCATCCGTTCAAAGCCTGTTATGTTCTGCTCCATTCTGCAGAGAGATGTGTTTTCTCACAGTAGATTAGCTAAACAATAAGTGATAAGCGCTATTGTCTAGAAACCATTATATAGTACATATTATGTATAGTCTAATATGCAAATACAATTAACCAGGGGCATTTTATAGAATGTAGGGTTTTATCCAATTTGACTTTATTTAATTGTATTTAATTCTATACTGTCCTATTCTATTCTATTCTATTCTATTCTATTCTATTCTATTCTATTTAGGATTACATCTGCAAATGAATTAATTTCAATAGCCAAGAATTTCAAACCCAAAGATATCCAATTTATGATAATATACATTTGTCTTCATAGGTGATTAATAAGAATTGCATATTCAAAACAAATATAACAATATACGTTTCAAGGAATTAGACTTAATCGTTACCATGGGATCGTTTCTCTGAATTTGTGATGAGCTAATGTGAGATTGTGAGATTAAACATCATGCAGAGCAGGATCACATTTTATCATATTTCATTGCATCAACATCTGGTTCGGGTCTGAGCTGATTACTAGAACATCTGGAAGGACAGTTTGTCTGTCCTGTTGGTACAGCCAGATTATTCCCTTCAGTCAGCTGTAATGGTGTATCATGCTGTCATGGTATAGTACTCAGTAGGCTACCGAAGTACCTGAAGTATATTTATTCTTGGCTTGCTGATGTTGTAGAGAATGAAACATTTCTCCAGTGTGCCATTGTGTTAGCGTAACAAAAGTAACTGATTTGTGTGTGAATTCGGTGTTGAAGGGGCCAGAATAACGTAAACAACAGAAGTGGAAACAGAGAAGCATCGCCCAGAGAACTGCTAGGAAATCAAATCAACCACTAATCATGAAATCAGAGTGCGAAATCTATTGTGACAATTTGGAGGTTCCAGTTCCTCAAATGGGGATACAGCAGAGTTTGTTTCCTGCCATAAAAGCATTGTTTAGTCATTTATGTATATTAAAAAGTGGTGCATCATTTATCCATTCAACATTATGCACTCCACACTGTATATAAATGCCACTTGTTTTGCACATATTCAACTCTGTATATTTTATATATTTTCTTATTATTATTATTATTATTTTATTTTATTTATTTATTTTTTTTACTATTTAATTTGTAAAAATGTGTATACACACACACACACACACACACACGTAGGAAAATATTTAGTATACACATCCAGAAATGCATACACTATTATATATTGTACATATATTTATTAGTTTCAGGTTGGCCATTCTTGTATTTTGCTCGTTTGTGTTGTTGTGTTTGCACATCTCTGTTGCTTGTGGGGCTCGCACACAAGAATTTCACTCGCATGTGCTGTGCCAGTGTGCCTGCACATGTGATGTGACAATAAAAGTGATTTGATTTGATTTGATTTGATTCTTCTTCCAGGTATTGCTCTGGTTTCTTCTGAAGAAGCTGCAGACATTTAGTTTCCTCTTTATGCGTCATTCCAATTGTTGCACATCTTCCAATTATTATTATTTGTTTCCAACCTTGTGCCAGGTCACTTTTATAGACTTGCTCAGCTGCATGTACTGCTGCAGTTTCTCCGTTATTTCTAAAAGGACTGCTGAGTAGAAGGTAACAAACAAAAATCAGTGCAAAATATTATTTTAAAGTTTCTAAATACTTTAGACTGTTATAACCTTGTACAGAAGCGGTTGGATGCTCATGTAGATACATACAGCCCACTCTTTGGCAAATGCAGTCATAGTTTCACTGTCTACACACTAACTAGCCCCTCAGAGGGCATCCTTGCTAGTCTGTTCAAGCACTGAATTTTTGAAGGTATGTGTTGGCACAAGCACACGCAGCTGCAAACAAAATGAGCAATTCATTGGTCTTGATCCGGTCAGATTTAAAATTGCTGCATTGTTTGCTTTCCAACTGTGGTTAAAGTCCTATGTTTCTTTCCTTTCACGCAGGTTCCTACATGTATGTTGACGTCTCGCAGTATGATGTTGGAGAAAAAGCCAGGTTTCAGCTGCCAGTCATGAAGGAGAATGATACTCACTGTATCGACTTCAACTATCTCCTTAGTAGCCCCGATGGCTCCAGCCCTGGCACGCTCAACGTCCTGGTGAAGGTACTGAGATCCGATCTAGTAGAGTAGATTGGATATGTAGTAGTTAATTGTTTTAAGGGACCCCATGATGCTCATTCCCAACTACCTCTTATTATTTCTGAGCCAGTGCGACTTTGCATGATTCACAGTTTAAAATAATCCTTTTTTATCTTATACTGGGTCTTGGCGCAGCCCGTTGTTTTAGCTGGGATCTGAAACTATCTGAGCATTACTGGCCCTCATAATAAGTTTTAACGGCAGATGTGTACCTGAGAGAGCCCGTTGATGTTGTAAGCCCTCTCTGACATCATCCAGATATAAGAGTAAAAAATAAAGTGCTAGCAAAACTGCTAGTTTAAAGTAACTCAGGGACAGAGCTGTTAGCTCACATGGATTACCTGTACATATGGTGACATCATTATTTGCAACTTTGGCCATGTTTATGCCCAGCTATGTAGAGTTAATATGTGCCAGAAAACAGAAAAACATAGTAGACCTCAATTAACTGACGGTTATATTTATTTGGATTTTTCTAATTAGTAAACAAACCAGCTGAATCAAGACCAAATGTACACCTCCACCAGCCACTATACAGCAGTGTACATTCTCTGAGGCTACATATTATAGAGCCCAAGCTGGATTGCATTATTCTAAATTAATTAAAGGAGTTTGTTTGTCACAAAAGCAGATGGTGACCAAAGCCTCTCCATTTAAAACAAAACAGGACAGAAGAAAACAAAGCAAAAGAATACTAGATTTATTGGAAATTCTTGGTTTTAGTTTTATGAAACATCCCCGCAATTATTGCAGCTAGCATGCAATAGAGGCTGCTGATTGCCTTGCTTTAACCAACACTTTCATTTCACAATTAAACATGATTTTTAAAGCAACACACATGCAGTCTCACGTTTATTTCAAAATAACATTGTTATTTGTTTTATTTAAATAAAATGGAGAAGTACATTCACATATCTGGTGCTTTGACAGTCTATTCCACAGTTATTTCCATAACACCTCTGTCTCCTGATCCTATTCTTTTCTTTTTTCTGTGTGAATGTTCTTAGAAAACACATTAAGATTAGATTGTAGTTTCTTTGGAATTTCCTGGCTAGAGCCAGGTGAGCTGTAATAAACCAAGAAAAAGATGCCTGACTGGAATGTAAAAGGGGCCTCTGTGGATAAATCATGAATTGCAGTGCACTGCATGCTTATAGATTCATTTTTGTGTAAACTATTTTGTGACTGATTGTGGTTCTGTTTGATTTCTAGGTGAACAAGGGTCCCTTGGCTAACCCTATATGGAATGTGACGTCCTACACCGGTAAAGACTAGCTCACAGCAGTGCTTAATCTGATTCAATTCAGCGTTTATGCATTATTGCTTATAATGGCTTATTTTGACCCTGATGTCGTTGTCCAGGTAAAGAGTGGCTGAGAGCTGAACTTGCCGTTTCCACCTTCTGGCCTAATGAATATCAGGTAAATCGGTAAAATAACAAACAGCAACTACACAGTTAGAACATCCCACTATCATGCATAGTTCTTTACTTTCTGTCAAACTGATGTGAAAACGCAGATGTCACACAGACACACACAAATAAAGGCAAACACATACACGTGCTGTGAGGCAGGCAGCTGATTTATTTGTGTTGACTGAGGCTCAGGAGGTGGCGATTAGGCTAGAAAGACACTTAGAAAGACCAGCCGGGTGTGTGTTTATGTGTACACGTGTTTGCACGCATAGGGGTGTGTCGCCATGCTGGACACTGACATTGTTGTTATTGCCCTATGGTCTTGTTTATGTGTTTTTAATGAGCAGCTGTCTGACTTGACCCTGAACATGAGATTCACATAGGAAAATCTATTGCAGGAATATTGTTGTAGGTTGCATTATACTGATCTTATGTGCATATTTGTCTCTTCCTTTTTCTTAATTTATGTCAGTCAACTTGATCTGTGCGCGGTGGTTGGGTGGTGTTCAGACATGTGTGTACATTACAGGCTGAGCGTTGTAGCTCCATACACACACTGATCATGTTAACACACACAGCCAGAGGACTGTGTAATATTACTATAAAGCAAAGTGTAAGAACATCCTCCAAATGGCCCATCTGGAGCCCAGTCCCCCTCAGCGGAGATCACCAGCATGAAACTCGTGTGTCAACATGTTTTAATTGGAACATAATCATCCAGGTTTGCCAAGGATTATATAGGTTTTGAGGCTGGGAAACAGGTTATTGGATTTCAGAGTATGAAGCTATTTTATCATGTTGGAACATGTTTCTCTGTTAGCACTTTAGCTTCAGCTGTAATGAGACTCGTTTCACCAGGGGAAGACCTGTCGCATGCAACAACAGATGCACGTATGAAATGCAGACAAAGCCACATAGCACAGTTTAAGAAGACCTTGTAGTCCTCTTAAACATTTTGTCTTTCTTGGCTCTTTATTTCAACTGAAAACTTAACAATCTTAACCGTTTCTAGATCTCCACAATGCAGTGAAGAAAGAACTTTATATAAAGATAATAATATCTGGTGACAGTTTGATATCAGAGTAAAAATATATTCCAAGGATTGGTGGTTTAAGTGATGTGTTTTGTTTTTATTTATCTTTTTTTAAACGTGACAGTAAATCTTGAGTTTTGAGCTCTTGGTCAGACAAAACAAGATATTTTAAGACTCATTTTCTCACAGGAACTTAAATTACCTTATGCGTTAATTCATATGATATATATACAGAAACAGTGCCCAAACACAATTTACATTTATTAATCCTCGGGCTATAAGGTGACATGAAAATGTTCCTTACCTGCAGCTTTAACCTCCTAAGACCCAAACTCTTCCACAGCATGCATTTTTAATTTCTCTTTGATATTTGGGTATATTGGGGCCCAATGAATGTAAAAACAAAGAATTACCAGATTTTTTTTTACCTTATTTTTGTTTTTATGAAAAATCAGAGCCACATATGAGGATATTCGTTTAAAATTTTGATAGAACAGTAGCAGTATAATGTCCTCGTAAGTGGATATCAGGCCCTTGTAGAGCAAAATTGAGTATTTTGGTCTAAATAACCCAAAATGTGATGTCCACATATGTGGACGCCAGGTCCTAGGAGGTTAAACATGTTTGATTCAATGGCCATGCATGCATAAACTGTATCTGAGTGACATACTCTGGAGTAATGATGTAGGCTTTAACATTTCAGAAAGCAATAAACCTGCTCTACACTGATTGGATTGGTCAGATAGTGAGTGTTTGACCCCCTGTATGTATCAGAGGTGACCACAATCCAATATAAGAATATGAATTCAAATGGCTTTATGGTAGACAATTAACTTTTACAAGAAGGTAAAATGACTTGCACCCAAGCCACATGTCCCTGGGCATGATGAAAATCCTTTCAATACCACACTCATGAGTACACAAACATTAGCAGAGTGTAGATTTAAGACCAGCTCAAAAAATTGATTATAATCTTTGATTTGACTGCAGAGACTTGCTTCACTGCCAAAAGAGTTGGCCTGAGATTTGAAAATGTTTAAAAGTTTGATGTCAAGTTTCTTGCTTTTAAAGTTTCTAAATGCTAAAATTTAATTGGACACCAATGGGCAGACCTTGTGTACTCAGTCTTTCATTCTCTGTCAGGTTCAAACAAGTTCATAACCAAGATATAATTTGTTCAGCTAAATGTCCACAGACAAACCTCAGACTATACTGTGGGTTAGATTCCACTCACTGCAAATTCAGAAAGGTTGTTAAAGATTTTTTAATCTCACTTTTGAATGGCAGGCTGGTAAAGAGCCAGCCCTAAGCCACACATTTCATTTAAGTATTATGTCTATATTAAATAGATTTCCTTTAGGCTATGTAAGAAGAAAAAGTATTAAGATAATTTGAGAAGATTCATTTTATTCACTTTATTTGGGGAACATTCATTGCCCAGAGTGGTGACCCGAGTTCGTCCTCAATGACTTGAAGCATAAACATAAAACATTGGTTTATATGTTTTTATACATGCACCTACATGCAGGTGTATAGGAGGCAGGCAGACAGGAAAGCTTGGCAGACAGGAAAGACGGAGATGAAGGTATTAAAAGTCAGCTGATGTCTTTCTGCTGGGCTCCGCAGTGAGCTATGAGTGAAAGATGATAGGAGAGAGAGACAAGATAGATTGGTAGGGCAGGGAGACCGAGAGGGGGAGAGTGTGACAAGCAGGAGATGATAAGCTGTGGGTAAACAGTTCACGGCAGATTTCCTTTTACAGGTGATGAATGACAACAACTGCTCACTGCCTTGCTCTCTTTCTCCCTCTGCCTCTCTTTTTGATGGCTACCTCCTCTTTTCTCCTCCTGTCCCTTCTCTTCTGTTCATTAGGTGCTCCTTTCTAAATAAACACTGTTAGAAAACAGACAGCAAGCGAGAAATAGAGAAAGGGGGAAAAGGCTTGGGAAGGCTAACGTATGGACAAGGAGGAGGAAGTGAAGAAGAGAGAGATGACGATGAGGTGGATTTTCCTAATTCAGATCCTTAGTGAGCTGCAGGGAGGTTGAAGCACCTGTTGACTGTTATGACTCCACTTAAAATCTACAAATTTAGCTTGCCAGTGTTATTTAGTGTTAAGCAGGTAATTTGCCTACTCAGCCATGATTGCTTATTTCTTCCAAGCAATCATACTAACACATGAGAAATTAGTTCACGGCAAGAATGTCCACAGATTGTTTTTTTTATTTTCATCAGATTCATAATGGTCACCCAATATATTTTAAAGTTATATATACATGAAAATCGTAATGGGTAATCTATTTTGCCCAATTATCAGCTTACATTTAAATACTTTGTAAAGTCCTGGTGGATTAACAAACACTGTGCGTTTCCATTCCCCAAGGGAATCAAAACAAGTACGACAGGTTTGTTTTTCCAGTTCATCCGAGGCCATTCCCATAACGCTGAAACTTTCACTACCTTCACCAGGTCATGGTACTCAAATCACATTTTAGTTCTACCCTTAAGAATGAGCTGTTTCCAACTATCCAGCACTTTTAAGGCGGCCTATACCATGAAGTAATGGTTTTTTGGAAGCTTTTCTAGGGAAACTAAAAGTGCATTACATACATACTCGTTGATTAAACTCCTTTAAAAAAAACAAGCAGCAAAGGATTTTGGTCTTCCAGATTGGTTAGTCATAGCTTTTGGCATCACAGTCAAAATTGTTGCAAATATTACATAACGTTTAAAGTATTGTGGATCTTCCAACACTATGAAGAAAAAGGCTTAAATGGCTGATCGGGGAGCTGTTCATGCAGTAGAAAGGCAGCTAATGGCAGCCTCCCATGCCTCTAATGTGTGACTCTGTGTGTTTGAAGTATTTATCAATCATTGACCTGCTGGTAGCACAAAAATGAAATTAGGAATTATCCTGTGGGGAACATGGATGTCAGTACAATGGATTTACTGAATTTAACTCCCAAGGCCAACACTATTATCATAGCTAAAAGAAAATTGAATTTCATGTATTTATTTTGGGGGTTTTTTTTCATCCTTTGCTGAAGTTCTCATCATGTGTTACATGCACAGATGTTTGACAACATAAGGAAAACAGACAGATGTAGGAAAGGAAAGGAAAGCAAAAATAGGCATGAGGAAAAAAGAACAAACAGAGAGGTCATAGCCCTTTGCTATCTGACTTTCCACACTGGATTTCAGTATATACTATAATTTCTTTAGCAGCCATTTTTGTGTACCCAAAGAGATTACTATGATCCATAAGGAAGTATCTCATTTATCCTCCCTGCCGTGTTGGGCAGAATTTATAAATCCAGCGGCATTCAGGGTGGCGGTTTTGAATTTATCCAGTTTAAAGCACATCACCAGCTGCTGTCGGTGACTTTCAGCCTGCTTTAAGATTGAATTGTTCATATTCACAACAAATTGAAATGGCAATAGTCTCACTTTGCAGCTTCCACTGCACTTAGGATGCATCAAAACAATTTGTGATCTGGTAACAGTACTAAAGAGTTGATTTCGTAACCATAAGGGGCTTGTGATTTGCAAACAGAGCATTTGTACATTACTTTTCTCTCAGGCTTTGACTTTGTTTTTCCTGTTGTTGTATTTTCTGTTTTTGATACACGGTTTATGTGCACAAATTGTTACATTTGCAAATTCAACTTCTTCAAGGTTTCAAGCTCAAGCATTTTGTGTGCTACTTGTAAATGCTGTTGTCAGTAATTGTGCATGCTAATTGTATGAAAATTTATTAATTAGCACATTAAAAAGATGTTATTTCAGGATATCTTCATCTCAGTGTTAATATTAACTGTTTAAACTGCAATTGGGAGAGCAATAGGTAAATCTCCTCTATCTCTCTTCTCTTAGGTCATATTTGAAGCTGAGGTTTCGGACAGCAAAGCCGGCTTCATCGCCATAGACGACATTCAGGTGCTCAGCTACCCATGCGGTGAGTCATTAGCATGCCAGCAATTAGTCCTAGTTCGCTGGATAGACGCTGATAGCTTTGGCCACTAATTAGACTGTACCTGGGATGGTTTCTGTTGCACTTGAATGGGTAGATAAGTGGGAAGGTGACACAAGAGAGGAGGGATGTGGCAAGAGGAGAAAGGCAAGTCGTAGAGAAAAATGAGAGAAATAAAAAAAGGAGAGTGGAGGAAACACAGAGAGAAAGAGGGGAATAGGAGAGAGTGAAGCGGGAAATGAGACAGTATTAGGGCAATCATGGAGAGAGAAGATTCTGACCACTCAGCTCTTTCTCTTTAACCCACAAGCACACACAGATGCGTGCACACACACACAGAGTGAACAGTAGCTTTCTTGTCTCTGTACTGACAGGAAAGAGATGAGGGCTGCGATCCTTTTTAAATTCTCAGTACGTCTCAAGTCTTCCTCTCGTCTTTGCTTGAGTGTTTCCTTACCACTAGAGGCTAGAAAAAAAGTGTTGTGACGACAAACTGTTAACAGAAGGGTCGTCCGTTAATCTAAAGCCATAGGCATGTTCCTGGAGAGGCAACTATTACAGCTGTTTTTGTTATCTATCTAGCAGAAGCACTGAAATCTTCCAGGACAATTCTGTTTCTTAATGGATTCTATTGATTATAAGTCATAAAAATAAAGTGTCGTGAACCCTTGTAGAGTTTGTGGGGTCGTGGTGTCCCTGTGGTCCCTGTCTCTGTCACAAGTTGTCGATATGAGTCAGATACACATTTCTACACTTGGATGTGAAATCTTGTAAAATATGGGAGGGAAAAAAGGATCCCTGGTGTTTTAAAGGCAGAGCAGCGGGGCCCTTAATAGGAAGGAGCAAGTATTTAAAAAGGAATTAGTACTTAGTCTCCACAGTGGAAGCATTCATTCTCACAGCTGCATTTCTGGACACACGAGTTTGTGTGTGTGTGCACATGTTCACATGCGTGCATGTGTGAGCTTGTGTGTTTGTGAGCGTGTGTCCGTGTGTGTGTGTGTGTTTTCATTGACCATAGGAGCTGCTATCTATGATTGCAATCACATCCCCAGAATAAAGATGTCACGGCTGAACTGCATCTTCAGGGTCTAAAAAGGCTTACTTCATTATCTTAGCATGGTATTTAAGAACTGGAAGCTATGTCAAGTCACATGTAGTGAAGGTGGCATTATTGTTACCTGGCAATGGCAAGTCAGTACTGTGCTGTGGTCCAGTAAAACATAATAATGACAAAAATGAACATATTCCTCAGGGTGGCCCATCGTCCTGAAATGTATTGTGTGTTTGTGATAAGGTGACCGTTTTGTCACCTCATTTCCATTTTAAAGAGAGGAATAAAATCAAAACATTTTAAAGCACAAATACATATATCCTCGCTGTAAACCTAATCTGATTCGCCTCTTTGTTTGACCTCATTTCCTGCAGATAAATCGCCTCATTTCCTGCGCCTTGGGGATGTGGAGGTGAACGCTGGACAAAATGCCACTTTTCAGTGTATCGCCACGGGGCGAGACACCTCGAACAATAAACTCTGGCTACAGGTACAACCAAGAAAACATTTGCAAAACGTGTGTGGTGTGCTGTTATTACACCAACAAGTTCTACAAGGCATTTGTAGCAAGACCAGATCTAAACGATTAATTATGATTATGGGGTTATTTAACTAGCAGTATTTAAATTGCAATAATATTCGCAGCCTTTCAAGTCCAGATCCAAAAACAGCCTGTTTTGTCACATCTAACAGTGGTATTCATTTTAGTGTACCCAAATACAACATTATTGAATGGATTTCATTTATTTACTTATTTATTTTTACAGAATATGACAGTTAAAAACATATTTAAGAAAGTCAACTTTAAAGCCAGAAAGGCTTGATAAGTTAAGAGAAAATTTATACCACTGGACTCAACTAAGAGCATGTTTTCTGTAATTGGGACAGACTTTCCCTTCATTATATGACTCTCTGTCTTCATAAAGTTGCAGTACAAATGAAAATGAGCAAGGCCTTGCTAAATCTGTCATTGCATTCTTGTGCTGATTAATGCGAGCAGTTCCTTGTAAAATAATATAAATATGCAGTATATAGCTTTATTTACTTAACAACACAAAGAGTGTACTGAATGTGACACCCTTAGGACTTGTATGTCCAATTATAAAGTGTCAACTGCGCAAACACACAAGTACACACTCACGCAGTCACAGTCACACTGACTGACTTCAGGCCATACATCTAGCAGCTAACATGATTAAGAGTTTAATAGCTGCTGATTTCATTATGGTTCTATTGTAGTCATGACCTTCAAACCTGCTGTCAGCGAAGCAGAGGGGGATGAGAGTGTGTACACACACGAGTGTGTGCGCACGTGTCTGTGGTCAGTGCTGGCTGACCTTGAGCAAGGCATTTAACCCTTCATACCCGCTGCAACACCTGATCTGTCTGTCTGTGTGTGTTTGTCTGTAGAGGAGAAATGGAGAAGATATTCCAGTGGCTCTGACCAAAAACATCAACCACAGACGGTTTGCTGCCTCCTTCCACCTCAAAGAAGTCACTAATCAAGATCAAGATCTGTATCGCTGTGTCACCCAGTCAGAGCGCGGCTCTGGGGTGTCCAACTTTGCTGCGCTTATCGTCAGAGGTGAGGATTTTGAAAAACATTTTCAAGGTTATTTAATAGATTTTCTGTCAACTTCTTTGCTGCTTTTTAAAAAATCTGATAGTAGTATATTTATATATATAAGCTTTTTTGAAGAATTCTTGGACGTACAATGAAAGTTCCCAATGTATTAAATTTTAATACAGTGTGTCAACAAAGTCAGACAGAAGTAAACAAAATCAGGATTCACAGGAGCTTGATCCATTTATCAAATTTGTTAGCTTAAATCACAGCTGCCAATAGCATATTTTATCATTAGCTAAGTAATTAAGTTTAATTCAGTGATGTTAATTTGGACAGTCAACAGTGACTCCAGTGCAGCACGAAGTAAATAACGAGTGATTTTGGACTAAAGCTTCATTTAAGGGCAAAATATTTAGTTCATGATGTTGCCCCTTATGAAAATTAATAGTCCAGCCCTGATATAGAGGATGTCTTATCATATGAAAGAGTGATTTAATAATAGACTAACTCTGTAATTAAAAGGTTAATGCTGAGTTACATCCTACGTGCTTCCATGTACCCTGGCTAGCTGTTTTCTTGACCTCTCTGTGTGTTTGTGTGTTTTTTTTGTTATGATCAACTTTGTGTTTCACTGTGACTGACTGATAAAATGAAAGTCACAATATAGGCTAATGAAGGAGGGTATGTAGATCTATGTGTGCTACGCTTGTGTTTGAATGTGGGTGCAAATGCTCCGTCTGTGTGTGTAGATGCTTATATGAGGATGAGATAGCTCAATTGTTGTCTATGCCAGCATGGGCGTGCTGTGTCTGAGTGTACGCGAATGGAATCTGTGTATTTGTGTGAGTGTGTGTG